CCTGAGTGCATCTTGTTAGTAACGCAGAGGATCACAAAGTATCCAGTACTACTACAAAGAATATTAGAATACACCAAAGGTGGGTGCCCTTTCCTCCTCCTAATCCCCTGTTGATTCCCTCTACAGCTCTCCTCAAGACTTTTTCTAGTAAAATTGCTCTCAGCAGAGCTGGCCAGTGCCTAGCACTGCTGTGATTAGAAACCAAGGTTTCATAACTTTATTCAGGATACCATTCCTCAAGCCTGATGTTACTGCAGTGGTAGAGCACACCAGCCCTGTGGGGAAAGGAGTGCTTTCATATAGTGAATGTAACAGCAATCTCCAGCTAATTGTGCAGCAGCCTTCATAGACTGCAGAATCTCTTAAATACTAGCTGTGATATAATGCCTGAAGGTGGAGGTGAGATAGGAAGAAATAGGTTCCTCAGATCTGCAGTAGTGTGTGCCGTCCCTCAATCTCCCTTCCACCCGAAAAATCCTGGACAGCACACACTTGCCATGTTCTTGGCTCGCTCGTTTTGAAAGCAAAACCATTCAGTTCAACATATGGCCTGCTTTCCATAATCTTCTGGTGTGGTCTATTTATTTTCTAGACAAGCCTTTTATCAAGTGAGGATGAGGGATGACTATCTGGGTCGCCCTTCTTAAGTTACAGCAAGCTTCAGAGCTGCTTTTTATTATAGGGTATCGCTCAGAAAAATCCTCTGGCAAATGATATATGCATATTGCCGTCTGTTCTTTTGCTAGTGGGTATGCATTCTGAAGATACAGCAGCAGACATTCATCAAGTAATGGCTGTATCTAGCCACCGTGTCTTGTTTTATAATCAATTTCTTTCAGAAGTTTTCAGGGCTTTTTGTTCGCCTGTTTTATAAAATCACATTCTGTTCACAAGGGGCTGTCTTGTTGGCTATTATTCTCTATAATAACACCTCAGACATAGTGGCCTGTCCCATTACCATGGTTTATATAAAGAATGAAATTTTATTTATAAAGTGAAAGGTTTATGTACTGTAACTTCATTGAGAATGGGAACCAATAGGAATTTCACTGCTACCCTGATGGCTCATTAATAATCCAGACCATTAAAACATTCTTAACAAACATTATTGTTACTTCACTGATTATTTTTAACAGCTTCTGACACTCCAAAATAGCAGCACTTTATGACCACACAAATGGTCAAGCTCCTATGCAAAATGGGTGCCATGCTTATTTGTTCCTCGTTTGACTAGTTGGCCGAGTACCTGAAGAGATGGAGGGCATGATTTTTGTTTGTTGCCCTAGTCTCCCATGACTTAGAGTGTATTTGCTACCGTTCCCCTTCATTGGGGTGATGCATCTTAAAGGTTACTTCGGTTTTGTTTTTGAGAAATAAAATGAAATCTGGCTCAAGGCATGCCTCTTTGCACTTCATTGTTTATGACTTGATAGAGCAAGGGGACAGCCAAAAAGTCACAAGGTAGGCTCTCTTCGTTTGTAGTAAGGCCGAATTGAAATGAAATTTTCTCTCTTTCCTTAAGAAAATGAAGTGGAACACCAACACTTGACTCAGTCGTTAAACCTGGTGAAGGATGTGATCGCTGCCGTGGACAGCAAAGTCAACAATTACGAAAAGAAAATGCGTCTCAGTGAGATCTACACCCGGGTGGACAGCAAGTCCATCATGAGAATGAAGAGCGGCCAGATGATCGCCAAAGAGGACTTGAGACACCGAAAACTCATCCGCGATGGGCCTGTCTCACTGAAGAATGCAGCCGGGAGGTTGAAAGGTAAGAAAGCACTGCAGATCGTGTGCTTGAAGGATACGACTCCCAGATGAAGGCAGGGCTCTCATCATTTGGCCACTTGCAACCTTGTTAGTTCCTTTTCCTTCAGTCTAGAATTATTCTGCCTACTGCAGTAGGTTTCCCTTTAAATCACTGGCCTGATTATTATTTTCATTGTATTTCTTTTTTTGCATTTGGAGAAACGCTCTCAAAGTAGAATCATTGCATCTTCCCCTGGGCTCCTGGTAATATCCTGAAGTAACATTGCATGCATTTCTATTGTCTACTAATGCTTTCCAGTGATTCTGCTTGTTCATTTTCCAAGTTTGCCTCCTCTTTGAAACTGAAACCAAAACTGGTCCTTTTCACTTTACTTCTCAGAAATTAGCCTGGTGTTCTTGGTTTGAGCTTTTTTTCAGTAGCTTAAATCGAGCAAATCCATTTACCAAAAAATGTGAAAAAATAATTCATGAGAACCATTATGTTCACATTAGCCTGGTATTAGGTCTGCCAGCTTGGACATACCTTTTGCATACTAGATCTGAAGTTGATTTGAGGTGTCAAGTACCAGCATGACGGGTGACCAGCACCAATTTGGACTTTTTCTGAGACAAACAAAGGCTCAATTGCAGCGAGTAGCTTACTAAAACAACTCCTACCTAGCAAAGGGAATTCTTGATCTCAATTATCTTAGCTCTGTTGACAAGCAATCACAGGAGCTTGTAACAGAGCCAGTCACATGTTCTGCCAGGCTTCTCTGGGAGCAAAATTAATAGAGGGGGGAAAAAAAAATCAGGTAGCGACAGGATCTTGTGCTGCTGCTGAACATTTGTGTTTGATGTTCATTGAGCACTTGCAGCCCAAGGGCACCCCAGCACATTAGAAATGCAGACACTATATGAATACCTTGAGCATGGAGACCAGCAGGATGCACTGGCTGCAAGGCGGTGAAACGTTTGGGTTCTGAAATGTCTCCAGGCAATAGGCTCACTGCATAGGAAGCCAAACCACTGACACTCCCAGGTTTGTTGCTCAGGACCAGCAGGGCCATCACCATTTCCATATCTGTACAGTCCTTCGTCGCTACTGTCCAGACCCACCATTGCTTTCTCTGTTGCACCTAAATCCCCAATGTGACTCTTAGGGCCTGGACAGATGTACTAATTACAGAGATAAAGGGAAAAGGGGAGGCAGAGTCGCTGTACTGACTGCCCCATGGGTTTCATGGGCCTGATGCTATCCCACCTGAAACCTTAACCAAAGCAGTTTACCCCTGAGTGAGACAGGGCTAAGTTACCAAAGTTTTTAACTTTCTCTAGCTCTGGGATAGGAGCAGATGTGTAAATAGTTACTACAGGGCAGCAAACGCATGGTAAGCCTTTTGCCCATTCCTGACCATAGCTCAGTATTTGTCTATCCCGATAATTTCTCTGAAGCATTTCCTGAGCTGCTGCTCCAAACTGGTGAGTTTTTTCTGTTTTTCTCGCATCCCTTCAGCTGCCTCAGTATGTGTTATTGGCACCGATTTCTGGATCTCTTGAACTGATTTTCATTCAGTCACCAATGTAAATCACTTTGTGAAAGCACTGTGCTTCCAGTTCAGCCAAGCTTCATGCTTAAGTGCTTTGCTGAATTGAGGCCTAAAACATTAAGGTAACTATGTTGTTAATTCATCCTCCATGAGAAGCAGCTGCCAAAAGCAGCCAACACTATTCCACACCCATCCAAGATCCTGGGCTTGTTTTCCTTATCCACCTTCCTCAATTGTATAAGCCTTGACATTAGTAAGTGTGGAGTTCAGGCATCGGTCTGTGGTGTGCATGGAAAAGGGCCTGATATATGGAACATTATAAGGTTGTATCTTTCAGTAACATCTTCTGGAAGCGGAAGAGTTCGTACCTGTGCATTCCCGCAAAGGGAGGATCATTTATCAAATTCCAAAAATAATATGATTTACCCTAAGGGTCTGGAGAAAGAAATTCTAAAGACAGTTTCTAGGTTCCCAGGAATGTAGTCCCTTTGAATGGTGGGTGAGGCATGTTCTGTGACTATTACAAAATCTCCCAATAAGTAGAGAGTATATGGCACGTTGCCAATAGAAAAAATGGCTTGTGCTTCCCCTAAGCCCATAGTAAGATGTCCTGGTTAGAGGTGGTCTTGTACAAACCATCCATACAGGTGCAAACTTGTGAGACGTTCCAGGTGGAAGAGTGTCTGCAAGTCCAGAAGTGAGTTGCTTATCTTAACTTCTGGGGTATGGAAGTGTATCCAGAAGTAGCATGGGAATAGGTTTCCTTGAAGTATTTCAGTACTTCCTATGCTGCAGGAAGAGCAGAAAATGTAGCGATGCGTGGAAATAAAAACAAAGCAACATAAAATGAAGATCACCAAACTCTGGCAAAAGTTGAGTTAGTGGTTGATCTGAAACAGATTCTCTTGTTCACAAAACGAAATGGAAAGAATTATCTTGGGATGAGTAAACTTTTGGGTTTACCTCATCTGTGTCACACGATCTCCAAGCATGTTACACAGAAGCTCTTTGTGCTGCAGTTTTGGGTGGGGCAGCACACTCAGTAGTTACTGTTTAATCTTGTGATATATCATGGGGGGACTTGCAAGATAGCATATGTGTTTTACGAAAATAACCTGAAATCACTTCTTTTACGTTGCTTTCCTTTCTCGCATGAGAACCAGGTTCTGCCCTCTGATGCAGATCAAATTGGCTGTGCTTGAATTGAGTGAGAACCATGTATAGCTGTGGGCAGAATCAACATCAGCTGCTCAAGTCAGATTCTGGGGAAGAAATTGCAGCTGACAAGTATTGTTGCAAGACAATTTGCACCCTATAAACCGCTCGTCAAGAGAGCCATCAGCCCAAAACTTCCTGTGCAGATGTTTTGCTTGAGGACAGAAATATTGATTGTGTGAATGAACAGTGCTTATGTTCAGAAAGTGTCCAGAGGTTGCACTGCCTCACACTTGCAAGATTCTCACAGGGCTCATCATTTGGAAAAGATAATCTCAGCAAGTGCTTATAGTTTGCATAAAATTCCCTCCGAGTCCTTTCAGAGGTGACTCTGCATTGCCCAGCCGAGTTACTGTGGGGATTATCTAGGCCTCCAGCTTCCCAGGAACTAAGCATGTTGCTAGGACAGGGTTTACAGCTTCATTTTCCTAGGAAGCAAAAAAAGACAGATTCATATTTGCAAAACATACCCAAATATTTACTCACATGCTCATTAGCAGCCAGAACGCCTCATATCGCTAAAGAAAAGATATTGGTTGGCTTGGAATCGGTGATTGATATAAATATAGATATTTTGTGGACTTTCTTTTCCTGCAGAAGTCCAGGCTGTCCTCCTCTCAGACATCCTGATCTTCCTTCAGGAGAAGGACCAGAAGTACATCTTTGCCTCATTGGTAAGGTTTTGGCATTTTCTTTTCCTTTCTTTTCCATGTGTAGTTCTAGGGCAGTGGTTCTCAACCTTTTTAGACTCCAGGCCCTGCTTAGAAAATGCCAGCTCTTGGTTTTCACTTGTCCTTAGCTGCAGAAAAATAATAGCCCATTTCTGTTGCAAAGAACTCAGAAAGGTCACAGCAGGCCACAATGTTTTTAGCACTCTGGATTCCATACGAAATCTCTGGGTTGACCTTGTGAGTCCTGTTTGCACACCGAACAGTGTGAATGCTGCATGGCATCCCACAACACCCTTGAGAGGCTCTCAAGACACCCCAGGGTGCCACAACACTGGTTGGGAATTGCTGTTCTAGTTATATATTGAGCAACCAAAGCAAGTCACTGCCCACTGCATCTCTTAGTTCTTAGTGAATGGAACGTCTTGTATTATATACAAATTTTATCCATGCATTCATGGCAGACGTGGTTATTTGCTGTTGAGAGCATGTCTTATTCCCTCCCTCATTTCCCACCCCTCAGTGATTTCTACAGTGCCTTGGAACACTTGATAATTAGCTCTGAAAATAAACCTGTCACTGAATATGGTTCCTCTTCTTCAGCCTGTGCAAATAATGCTTGTTCACACTAAGGGTGGGAGGAATGTAAAAATGAAAGAGCAGAAAGAACAGACTTAATAAATGTCAAAAGGCAAAGGAAAGAAAGCCACCTGGTGCAAAGAAGTCCTGAGAGCAGCTTTCAGATCAGTGTGCCACAGGAGGATGTTTGTCATGTAAAGAAAAAGCACCAGTTTTAAGAGAGAGCCCTCGATAAAAGGCACAACATAATGAGAAACTGCCGCTGATCTGTCAGCAACGTGCCTATCCTGCGTATGTCCGGGAAGAGACTTTCTCTGCTCCTCATGTCCTTTCCATTTCTGAGCAGCGTTTAGCAAAGCTCTTCTAAAGTGCCAAGCGTCCTAAACAAGGTACAGTCCTGCTGATACCATAGAGGGACCGGTCAGACTGCATGCCAAACTTAACCCTAAGCATTTGATTGCACACAGATATTAGAGACACCGACAGCACGTTGCATATAATCATACACACAGTCTCCAATGGACAGTGTCACAAGCCCTTCCTGATGGAAGTCAGCTATAAGCTACTGAGAACAATAAGGTCTGGAGTGAGGTTTGAAGAAGAAAAATGTGATTCTCTAGGGCTGTAGAGGGGGAAGCAAAAACCACAAGTGAAATAACTAGCAAACCCCATTAAGTGTGGAGACCCTGGGTTAAAGAGCCCAGGACGGAAGAACAGGAAGTCAGAGCTTCTTCACCCATGTTAAGTTGCTGGAGAGTTTGAATGCCACAAAGGTGGTTTTGAATGGATTCAGGGACAGCATGGGATGATCTGGACCTTCTTTCTGGATCAACAGAGGAAGGTGGCAGGAGTTTTGTGTATTCAACTGAAGTTATTCTCTGAATCTGTGTTGGATGAGACTTGCAGTTGTGTTTAGCCTGTGGTTGCACAAGATGCTTACAGGTTAGGAAGGAGGTCTAATTACAGGGATTAGGAGCTTTTGAGCCCTTGGGACCAGGCAAAAGTGCTAGTGTTTTCTCTGTCTTCTCATCTATCTCCTCCCACCTATCCCTGTAGGACACGAAATCTACAGTAATCTCTCTGAAAAAGCTCATTGTACGAGAAGTGGCTCATGAGGAAAAAGGCTTATTCCTCATTTCCACGGGAGTGCCCAACCCAGAGATGGTAGAAGTCCATGCCAGCTCCAAGGAGGAGCGTAATAGTTGGATACAACTCATTCAGGACACCATTAACACCATGTAAGTTAAGGAACTGTTCCTACAGTTTAGATGTCTCTCACTTTTTTCATGGTGGTAATTGCAATGTGTCCATCTCTCGTGCAGGGACAAGGATGAAGATGAAGGAGTCCCTAGTGAGTCTGAGGTGGAAAAGAAAGAGCTGGATGCCAAAGCTAAAGAATTAAAAGGTAAAGATGCCAGGACTGGAGAGCAGAGGTGGAGGAAGCTGTTGACAAACCTCTCAGGCATTTTAGTGCTGGATTTTACAAGATCTTTTTATTGCTGCTTATCATCTTGATTTTTCAGGGGACCTAGAATTTTTACTATATGTGAATGATTAAAGCCCTTGTTAGGAAGGAAATCTGTCTGGCTTGTTAGGGCAAGAGATGCTGGCATGAAATAAAGCTTTGAACCTCCAAAGTTTCAGGTTCAGATTCCTGAAATCTGGAACCTACAATTTTTGGGTAGCCTGGAAATCTGAAAAAACATTTCTTCACCTCTTTATTGGGACTAAAACAGTGCTGCTACTGCTGCTGCTGCCTGAAGTTCAAAAAAACCCAAAAAAACAAAAAACTAAAAACCCTCAGGTGGAAGAGAGGACTTCTGATGGTGGGACTGTCACAACTGGCTCCCTCAGAGATGGCTGTCTTAGTATTCAGGCATAGCATGAGTGAGCCCCTGGCACAGAGTTGATGCAGCAAGCATCCAACCTCTCCTCTACCTTATCAGATATGTGTTCAAATTGTAATGGGTACCAGTAGCTTCCAGCTACTGGTGAAGAGTGCATCTTGTGCCCTTGGCCAGTGCAGCCTAGGATGAGTGAGATATTTGGGAGAAGGTCAGAGTTCAGGTGCAAGTCATGCGAGGGAGCTACTGCTTTTGTAATGCTCACTGAGCAGCCCCTGAAGCTCCATTCTAGTGGCCCTCGGAGACCCCTGCTTAGCTGGTGGGTTGGGTCTTGACCTGCAGTGTGTTTTGATCATGGGAAGTAAGAGAAAAGAGGGAAGATGTGGAGCTGCCAATCTTTGCTTCACCTGGCACTCAGATCAGCAGGCAGCACGTGGCTCTTCCAGTACATATATCACAGTCCTTTCCTGTATGCAAGAGCTAATACGCTGTTGAAACTGAGCATTGTCACAGGGTAACTGTCTGCTGCTGCCGGAGATGAGCTATAGGTAGTTGAAGCCTGAGTGAATGAGCCTGGCAGACGCTCAGCTGTATTAATTTTTTATTTCTGAAATACCGCGTGACAAACGTCGCTGCAGAAGTTCTGGCTCTTGGCTGCCGTTCCAGTGTTGGGCATTTAAATGCAAAGCAGAAAGGCTGGAGGGGGAATGCAAGGGAGCTGATCCCGCAGTAAGAAGAGTGCTGCGGCAGGGCTGCCAAGTTACTCCTGCCTGGGAGCTGGATACGAATGCCTGACACTAGGCCTTTTTAGTACAGGGAGGAACCCTCTTAGGTCCCTGTCATCTTATTCTCTGCCTTTTAGCCTGAATACCTGCAGATTCAGCAGCAGGAACAGGGGGGTTGAGATCCATTCCCATTTAGGATGTAGAACTGTCCACGAGTCTGTCCCCTCAGACAGTGTAAAAGCGTGGGAACGTGTCCTGAAAATTAAGGAAGTTGGAAACTGCGCACAATCGTTGCTGTTCCAGAATGTGCCGCTGGGTGGAGCCGGTATCACAGGGATTATTCAGATTCCTTATCAAACCACAGCTTTTTAATCCAGGTTCCTCTCTTCACCTCACAGAACAGCTTCAGCAGAAAGATCAGCAGATCCTCACGCTGCTGGAGGAGAAGGGGAAGATTTTCAGGGATATGACCGACTGCAGTGTGCAAGAAGATGGCTTGGTCTCCAGAGTGCTGTTCAGAGCCAACACTGAAGAGGCACCCAAGGGGGAGAACATTATGAAAAGTGCAATAAATGAGGGTAAGTGAGCCAGTAGGTCATATTAGTTACCTGTATCAATGCTCATAGCAGTTGTTTGGGGGAATCACCCGGGATCCACCCTGGGGTAAATCGACCTTCTTTCTTTGAATGAATAAACCATAATCAGAACGTAATGACCATAAGCAAAGGTATATTCCCATCCCCCAAAGGGTGCTGAGAAGGAAAGAGATGCAACTCAGGAATGGAAGGAGGTAGTAATGGCTAGTGGAAAGAAGTTAGGGAAGATATCTAGAAGTCTTCAGCACGGCTAGAAATTTTGCATAAAGCCCATGGTGGTTCAGGAAATGGTAGAGATATGAACTTGAATCTCTTTGCCCACCATTCCCTGGCATGTACTTTGGTATCTGGCTGCAGCCCAGGATCTGGTCTTTTGTGTGACAGTTGGGCCGTGGTGTCTTTGCGTGGCTCCATTCAGCAATGTAGTGGACTGCAACAGGGAAGTTTAAAAGATTGTCACTGGGCAGCAGGAGGTGATGGATCTGGTGAGCCAGTCGGTTGGAAAATCCACAAGTAGGTGATTCCCAGCCTAGCTTTCCTGTGTGAAATACCCAGGAAGCTGGAGCAATCAATCCTGTAGGCTTACAAACACATACTGACAGCACTTGGAGAGGGAGGGAGATGAGGTGCTAGTGTGAAGTTCAGTGTTTATGACCTGTGACTTGACCGTTGAATGGCTGCAGGTAGCATGTTGGCATCTCCCTTCCTGCACAGCTGTCCTCTTTGTACAGACAAACACATAAAGTTACTGACCCCGTCCTCTAGGCTTGGGGGAAACCATGGTGGGCTGTAAGTCTCGAGGATGTACCTTAGCTGACCTTCTCTCGTGTTGCTTCTTACCCTTTCAGTCGAGTTGTTGCAAAGCATGGTGAGCAGGAGTCTGGGGAGTGCGCTGGGACCACAGGTCAGCAGCCCTAACTCTGAGCAAGAAGGAGTTGGCCCCATCTCCCTTCCAAGAAGAGCAGAAACCTTTGGAGGCTTTGACAGCCACCAAATGAACGCATCCAAGTGTGAGTATTCCTGTGTGTACGCAGGGCTGGATTTGGGTTTAGAAGTCTTTGTGCCTGTCTGACATCTCCTTTCCAAGGAACTCGGGCACCTAATGAATCTTAAGTGAGCTTAATGCCTCAGTCTTCTAGCATGCTACCCATTTTACATTTGAGGAAGTGGAGGCAGTTAAAGGTGGAAGGACTTATCCAAGTTACTGGAAGTCCATGGTTGAGCAGGCACTCGGGGCCAGGTCTGCTGATCCCTTGTTCTGAGCTCTGCGCCTTTCTTTTCACACCCTTTACTCAGCGTATTTAAATATTTGTTTTCTTCACGTCTGTTTATTTGCTATGGTATCTGCAGCCTGGTTCCCTCATCTCCAGAGGGCTGCTGCCTCCTAGTCTGGACGCAAAATGAGATCCCAATTGACATATGACAACCCACCTGAGAGAGAGCTTGTTGAATCAAGCAGGTTGTGCCCCCTGCCTTGTCTCCCATCTTCTTTGCCTATGCTCCTTACACACCCTCACCCACAGTGATTTCAGCCAGATGAGCAAATATGTAGTTTTTTGCACACTTTACAGCTTCCCAATGCCCCACTTGTCCACCCCAGGCTTCAGAGGCATCTTCATCCCTCCAGGGCTCCTCTGCACACAAACCATATCCTCCGCTTTCCTACTTCCAGTTTGCTGAGTTCTGTCCCAGCACAGCTCTCCCTGAAACCCTTGCCCAATCTTCCATGTCACAGTGTAGTCTTTAGCTCCAGACAGTCTGCAGTATGAAACCTAGAGGATTTTCTCAGCTGCAAGATATAGTGCCCAGTAGGCCCTGACACAGCAACATAAAAAGCATTTTGCTCAGAGGACTTGAATTAAGGTTGAAGTTTCTTTTCCTGATTGCAGCAACTTGCATGGCCTCAGGCTGGGCTGGTCAAGACTGTCCAAGTCTTCCTTCTCTCGCCTGCACTTTCTGCAGAGATGGAGGTCATATGAATTTGACAGTATGAGAACTGCATCTTGGGGGACGCTTCGGAAGGAAGATGCAGTCTATCAGATAGACCCAGCACTGGGAGGGAGGAAGCCAGGTTCTGTCCCATTTCCAACTGTCCTGCTTGCACTCTCATAACTGAGCAAATCTCTTAGCCTTATTGTGCCTCATGTTTCCCCAGCTGCAAAATTATGGTAAAGGTTGCTTTGACTGTTTACGCCTGTGGAAAGATGCCAGGCAGCAGGCCCTTGCACAGGATGCAGGGAGGATGCAGTGGCTGGGGCAGAGAGCATTGGCTAAGGGTTAGCGTTTGTTTGTGTCGGTGACTAGAAAATCCAGACCCCAGGAAGGAGGCAACTCTGGACTACAGCCGGTGTTCTGTGGTTTGTTCATTAACAGGGTTGTCTTCATCCACAGTGGCTTGATGATTCACCTTTAAATCAATGAAAACAGCTCTAAGGGTGGTTTTTTCTCAGGTGGTTTGTCTCAGTTGGGAGCGGTCTCACGACATGTCCGGCAGTCTGTTCTGAATTCCTGGGTTCTGATGCCCGAGCCTGCGAGAGCTCTTGGTACCCAGGGACAAACCTGTCTGCATACAGATACTGCCCTCCTGGTATCCAACCCATTGCCTGAGTATCATAAATCCAGTCAGGATGGGTAGCATTGCAACGTAACGTGATGCTTTAGCCTCCAGTTCAATGCAATTGGCATTCACCACGTGTTCTTTCACAACGTGTCTTGGAAATCACAGCCAATGGTTTCCATGTCAATGCTAGTGACATGGAGATGGGGATTGTGAGGCCTTAAAGATGTCTGACCCACAAGCGAGTGCACTAAAATTATTGGCATTTCAGGCGAAGCCCAAACCGGTCCCTAATCAAAGCTCCTCTTCATTGGGTCAGTGTGGGCTGACATTTAGCAATGTGTGCTTGCTTCCTATTTATACAAATAAAGGACAAGCACATCTCAGCTGTGTTGAATCACCTGGAAAACAGGCCGTTTTCCCTCATCTGACACTTGCTAATGACTGAACACTTCATCTGCCGTTTGCAAAGTTAAATGATCCATGTCAACCTTTGGGGGGGGGTGTTTTTAGGTGGAGAGAAGGATGAAAGCGAAGATGCCCAGGATCTTCGGAGGACAGAATCCGACAGCATTCTGAAGAAGGTATTGCCATCTTGTATGTGTCTTATAGCAATAACCATGGTCCTTTCGTCCTGGCACCATCGTTTCTAAATCTGAAAAAACATGAGTTTCTGTCCATGTTAAACCCACCATGCTGAAAGTCTGCAATCAAAACCAGTATTGCTTTGACTAAAATTCCCACTTCAAAACAAAAATTAATGGGTAATAAACCAGTGTCACAGAAGACCCTATCCTGCCATCTGTCTGCAAACCAAATAAAACGTGTGTCTAATTATGTGTTGCTATTGAAATGCCATGGCCAGACATAAACTCATGCCCTCATGCAGATTAGTTCATTGTATCGCTACAAAGTGATCCCTAATTAACATTTGATTTTTTTTGGCTGATTTTCACTTTATATACATGAGATCTGCATTGCCAAAAAGGAAAATGGGAGGGTTTGGATGTGTTTCTATCATTAGTTCAGCTTTGAAAGGCAGTTATTGTACTGCTGGTTTGCCCTTTTATTAAAGCAATGTGATCTTTTCATAGGGTGGAAACGCTAATTTCATGTTCATGTTGAAAAGAAATAATGAGGTAAGAACAATCTCTGTTGCCTTAGGGGTGGGGGTTGTTTCGCCTTCAGTTTTGATGGCAAGTGGATTTGTTCCAATAGGTAAAGGAGAGCATGAACTTCATATCCTGTTGTATAACTTAGACTTTTAAATGTAGTAAACTGAGCTTTGGATACTCAGTCCAGGGATTTATTGCCTGACCTTTAACTGCCATTAGTAGAATGAATGCTGATTATAGGCATCAGGGGTTAATTATGACTAGAGAGCACAGGACTGTATTCACCACGCATCTGCATATAGAAGGAGTTTAATTGTATGTTGCAGGTGCAGTGAATTGGGGCAATTAGGTTTCTATTCTCCCTTTGATATGCATCTAACTCCCAATTAACATTAATGGCAGCTAAGTATCTCACTGAGAAGAGGTTCCCTTCCTACCAGCTATTATGCAAGGACTGGAAACACTACTGTTTGTGTTGGTTAAATTTTTGTATTGAAAGAGCAATTATGGTACATTGAACAGGATTCAGACAAGCACTTGGCCAGCGTTTGGAGGGACAAGACACCATCTCAAAATGTCTGGCATGCTGTTGGCTCTACACCAACACAAATACCTGTGCCTTTAGGGGCTGTATTTCCAAAGGTCTCGGGGCCCTATGCCTGCAATAGTTGTGCACCCATTTGTTTGCATAATATCCCTGAAGAGGGAGAGGGGGAAGTGGAAGGGAAAGCACACGTTTAATGCATTTTTAGGGCCTGTTTCAAGATGTTTTGCCGTGAAAGTCGTTTTCCTGCAAATATGCAGTCATAGTCAATGCACGCAACCTCCCTTCCTTTATGGTAACCTTCTCCTCAGTACCATTCCTCCTTCACTTCCCAGAAAACGGAGCCACAAGGAGTACTGGCAGCCTCTGTGTGGCAAAGAGCAAATTGGGGAGGAGACTGACAGCACAGCAGCAGATGGGGCAGAAAGCAAAGCAGAAGATCAGGCAGGGAGTACAGGGCTGGGAGCAAAAAGCAGAGCAGCAGATTGGGCAAGGGAAGGGGGTTGGACTGGTGCTTGGAGAAGACGTGAGGCTAATTTGTGGCACTTCTGCCAAAAACACCACTGTAAAGAAAAGCCCCCCCGAGACCCCACAAGGCAGGCAGAATGGGGTGGTTCTCCACATGCACCTTGCTGTGGGAGCATGCGACTGGCTTCTTCACTGACTGCTAGGGAAAGCTAGAAGGAAGTGTGTGCCAGCAGGGTAGCCATGGATGTGATGCACTGGGTGGGATAATTGGACCTGTATTCATTAGCCTGCCTGAAGCACCCTAAGGACCCAACTATAGTGTTCCAAGTTTAGGAAGTGACCCAGGTAAAGCCATGTGGTGTGCTGGACACATTGCCTGGCTCAGAAAGTTTAACACACAGACGTGCTCTAAACTTTGATCAGTAGGTGTATTTGGGATAAACTATCGATGGCATAGGTGGTGGGGAAGGGGCGGGGCAAGTAGGATGGCTGGGAGTCACCAAACAGATCAGCATGGCCATGCACAAGTCATTTGCAGTGTTACAGAAGAGCGAACGGTAAGGTGAGGTATTACAGCAATGCTCTTCTTCTGTTTCCTTGCAGCATGTTCTCCATAGCATCACCCAGCTCCATAACCTGCTTAGTGCTTTGCAGGTAGGTCATCCTGAAGCCTGGTATTCTGCTTTCACATTCTCCATTCCTGAACATATGAATCCCCTCCATGAGCACTGACTTGTGACTGTTGACATCGGCATTTTGCTTGCGCCCTTTCCATTCCATTTGTATTCCCAGCCTGTGCTTGGACTTAAAGGTCCTGCTAAAGGGTCCTGTCTGGTGTCTGCCCTGTTGGGAGTGTTCTCTTCTCCTGTCTTTCTGCATAGATCTGCAGTCTGGAAGCAGCTAGTACTCTGAACTGCCTTGGGAAAGTCTTGGGTCAGGGGTACTAGACATGGCCTGTGTCTTACAAATGCATGCTGGCCTTGCTGGACCCTCTAATCAGCTGAGATACATACGCCGACTTTTCTAGGCACCAGATGCAGCTGCTGACTGCTCCGTGACATGACAGCTGCTGTAGTACATGCCTTCCATGCAAGGAGGCACCGCACTGACTTTGTTCTTTCTCCCCTCCCAGGCTGTCGTGCTGCAGCAGGACACGTACATTGAGGATCAGAAGATGGTTCTGAACGAGAGAGTGTTGACACGGACCTTCTCCAGGCCGAACTCCTTGATCGAGCAGGAGAAGCAGCGGAGCCTAGAGAAGCAACGCCTGGAGCTGGCCAACCTGCAGAAGCAGCAAGCCCAGTACCTGGCGGAGAAACAGAAGAGGGAGAAGGAATGGGAGGCACGGGAGAAGGTGCTAGCAGACCGGGAAATGCGGCTGTCCCAGAGAGAAGAGCAGGCTCAGAAGGGGCACCAAGAGCTGGAGAAGGAGAAGGAGGAGCTGCAGAAGAAGAAGTCGGCCTACCAGATCGACCTGGAGAGGCTCCGTGCTGCACAGAAACAACTGGAGAGGGAGAAGGAGCAACTCCAGAGAGAAATGGAGCAGTTGCATCATGCACAGCTGAAGCAGCCTGGCCACAATCAGGTAATTGCTGTTTCCAGTAAAGGGCTCAGGGTAGATGTGCAGCTGAGGTGACAAACTGGCTTTCCAAAGAAATGGTCTGGTTAAGCCACAGGTTGATAGGCTCAGTGCTGGAGTTGCTGGGGAGATTCTAGTCCAACTAGAGGGTAAGAAAATGGTCCACTCTGCCCTTAAAATCAAGGAGTCCAGGTATGAACCTGAGAGACACAAGACCTGATAATTTTTTTAACCCTGATCTGTCTTTTCTGCACCTGGTGTTTCCTGGTGTTTGCTGCTGCATGTTGCCTATTCTGTCTCGGGGGAGAGACTTCTAGCAGAGCAGCGCCTCCCAGATCCCCGTGGCAATCCTGAGCAAATGTGCATCTCTTGTCTTGCCAGTGGGGTTCATGGGTGATTGCATCTGAGCTTTGCCAGCTTTTTTGGAGACCTATTCCTTATTGGCCTGATAGTAAGTGGTATAACAGGCCAAGTTGAACAGCAAGAAGGAGCAGACACAGGAACGCTCAGGAGAAACCTCTGTTGCATTTCACTGTAGCCTTTTCACATCTGGGCCAGCAATTTTTTGTTCTCCCAGGCAGTCAGTCCATTAGCCTGGAGCTCCCTACCAGGCCAACTGCATCTTTTTACAGAAGCAACTCACTGGTGAAATGGTTTTGCTTGTTAATCTTGGTCACTACATTGTAAGACCTTGTTAATTTATTTGTAGCAGCCTCCTACAGTGTTCTGGACGTCTCAGAAATAGATGGACACAATCCCCGTCTAAAATACAGACCTCACACAGCAAGCTGGAGGGGGAGCAGTCTGGGGGCTTAGCGCTGGGCTGTACAACTTTGCAAAGAAGAGATTGCACAGAGATTCTCATATTTATATAAGGTTTTTTGTCAGGAAGTTTGGGTTTATTTTCCATTTAATCCAGTTGGAGGTACGGCTGAAGGGAATCACTAGAAGGATGACTCGTTCCATACAAACATGCACGGAAATCATAGTTCAGGCCTGTAGCCAATACGTTTAATTAAGGCACAAAATGAATCCCAGAGCAATATGTAATTTGTTTTGAGCTGAAGCAGCAGTACTTTATGAAAGTTAGGCCCTACATTCAGAGAGCGGAAATGGAGCCACGTGACTTAATTGGCTCGTTGAGTAGCTCAGATATTGAACTCCAAATAGCAGATTATCAGGGGAGTGTTTGCTGCCCCCTTATCCATTGGCAGTCCAGAGGCTGGCATTCCTTCATACCATTCACAATAACGAATGAAGTCATAAAAGTTGTAATTGGCTTGAGAGCAGATAAGTGTCAGTTTCTCCAAAGATCATGGTGCAAATCTAATTTATTTGCTTGGCACTTGGAGTCCATGGCCAAGGGCACGATAGGGAAACACGAGATAAAATAATTCATTCAGCTTTGCTGTAGGCCAGCTGGATACCAGTGTCATTCAAAGAAAGCAACTTTTTGGAGGCATGTATCCAGATGTCAGAGCTCTGAATAGGGATGTCTGAATGGATAGGAGCTCATGTCCTGGCCTTCCCTTTATATATGTTGGGTGCCACTGCCTTTCTGGAGGACACATCAGAAAAGCAGTAAAATGATTTGACTTGTCCTTTCCCTTTGGGAAGACGTCACTTGTCAGGCATCCTCCTATGTATCCATCAGCATGCCTCTCCCTAAGGGGGAGGATTTCTGCATCTGGAAGTGGGAAGGAGCGATCCTGAATTTCTTAGTGGACTTGCTCTCTGTTTGTTGTACCCCTTCAGTCTCATTCGGCAGGGGAAGAAATAGAAGCACTTCTTTCTCAAATCCTCATCTCATTCCCCTCAGACAAAGGAGTGTGTTGGTTGGGAGAAATGTCCACGTTACTGGATACTGCCTAAAGTAGGTGGTTTCTTTGGGTAGGCGTGTGAAGCAGCAGGCTTTGTCTGCAAGTGCAGCAAAGGCCTGTCTGTACCGGAGTGTATGAGTGAAACGCTTCTGTTCTCCTTTCAGGTTTCAAAGCCGCATGAGAAAACTATGTGGACCCCTTCCCTGTCCCCTGCTGAGGACCCCTCCAAACAGCAAAGCTCTTCCCTTCCCGAGCCAGGGCACTTTGATTCAGAACTGTCTGTCTCACCCAAAAGGAACAGTCTCTCAAGGACATCAAAAGAGAAATGCCCTTCCAAGTTGCATAGCACAACCAATCAGACTAACAAGGTGGCTGAGGGGCAGCACCAGATACCTTCCCGCCTCTTCAGTTTAGGGCAAGCCAAGCCAAAGGACAAGAAGGAAAAGAAGAAAAAGAGCAAAAGCCAGCGCTCCCAACCTGCTGGTGAGTGTTAGTATAGGATTAAAAGGATTAAGTGAGTGTAGGATTAAAAAGCTGGCTTCCCTAAAGCTGTTCAACCTTGGGGAAGCGTGGTACCCAGCCTCCAAAGAGTGATAACCATAAGGGATAGGAAGAATGGCAGTGATGAGCAGAGCTTCCCACAGAGGCTGATGCTCTCTGGTGTTGTCTCATGTGTGCAGAGAGAACAGGTGTTGGCTATGGGATATTTTTCCCCCTGTGGCTCTCTTCTACAGACCACTGCTGTTGCTCTCCAAGCCGTCTCCACAGCTAGGGACATTCCCCTGATGATCTAGCAGCAGGGGATGCTTCCTGCCTGCAAGGGACAGAGGGGGCAAATACTGCTTCTTTCTCCCTCCCTCCTCCCCACTTCATCTGGGTGACTTGACTCCCCTTATACTTTTCAATATCAGCTGTGTGAAATCAGTACTCCCAAAAGTAGGGTAAACTACTGATAAACACAGTCTAAAATCCAGGACTGGGTCTTGGGGGAAAGCCCCTCCAGGGGCGTTTGCCTTGAAAATCTTCCCAGCAGTGTCCCTGCCCATCTTACCACTCTCCCCCCCACCAGCTGCCACCTTTCTCTGGTCAGGATGGAGGCCCAGGTTCCCTTGCCTGTGACCACTACCACCCCTGGCTAGTCCAGTTGCCTCTCCTCTCGCATCGACCTGTTGCATCTCACTTCTGACCTGCCAGTGTGCAATCACCTGGTGGTTTTCTCTCATGGATCCACGTCGGCTGTGGACTCTGCAAGCCTCCAGTGTACTGGGTGACAGATTGCTGGTTTATTAACCCTATTCATAGATTCATAGACGTTAGGGTCGGAAGGGACCTCAATAGATCATGAAGTCCGACCCCCTGCATAGGCAGGAAAGAGGGCTGGGGTTAGATGACCCCAGCTAGATGCCTATCTAACCTCCTCTTGAAGACCCCCAGGGTAGGGGAGAGCACCACCTCCCTTGGGAGCCCGTTCCAGACCTTGGCCACTCAAACTGTGAAGAAGTTCTTCCTAATGTCCAGTCTAAATCTGCTCTCTGCTAGCTTGTGGCCATTATTTCTTGTAACCCCCGGGGGTGCCTTGGTGAGAAAACCCTCACCAATTCCCTTCTGTGCCCCCGTGATGAACTTATAGGCAGCCACAAGGGCGCCTCTCAACCTTCTCTTGCGGAGGCTGAAAAGGTCCGGGTTCTCTAGTCTCTCCTCGTAGGGCTTGGTCTGCAGGCCCTTAACCATATGATGGCTGAGAGCACTCAGTCGTAACTTGATGATGTAGTTGAAACGGGATATGTCAAACACCCCGTTGTAGAAGTGAATGGACAAAAGGTGCCAATTTGCCTTAACATGGAACTTCATGGTGTATTTCTGTGGTGAATAACAATGACTTTTCCTTTCCCAGATGCCCATTCATCAGAAGCACCACTGGAGGGCAAGGAAATCTTCTGCTGAGTGTCTGCTCCTAATTCTGCTGGGATAAGGCTCCCTCTTCACTGTACTGTATTAGAACCCATGCAGGCGTCTGGCAGGGCCAAAGCTCTCCTTGCCCACTGAGTGCTCTCAGCCATTGTATGGAGGAAAGCTCCCTGCCCCCACCCTGCAGCAGGTTCCTGGTTCCTCCATCCACCAAGCTTGCCAAGCCATGCATTCAGTGAAGCATGCATCAAGGTTGCAAGAGGCGGGCGCAGGGCTCTAGCCTTCAGTCTTGTATGAATCCTGGCTGCAGGGGCTGACCACATAGCAAGCAGCACCCACTCCCTATGCAAACCTTGGTTTAAAATGACCTGTGCAGATAATTCCCTATTTCTCTTACTGGTCAAGGTTGAGAGAAGGTGGCCCAAGGAGTCTGTGCCTCTGCATTCCCCTTTTCTGGGGAACATAACCAAACCCAAGCATTTAGCAAAAGGTTAGGACTCTGCAGATGGTGCGTACACACTGGCATATATAGATATACTGTGTGTGTGTGTGTGTGTGTGTGTGTGTGTGTGTGTGTGTGTGTGTGTATATATATATATATACACACACACACACACACACACACACACACACATATGTATCTGTGTATCCACTGGGATATACACAAAGTCTGTACAGACAAGCTGGGTTAGCTTAGCTGTGCCCAGGGAGATAGATGAAACCTGATGACTTTCAGGGAGCGTGTAGATATTAAATATCTTGCCCTTACTGCTCAGTGCAGCTTCATTGGCTTGCCCGCCCCTTCCGCATGTATCAGACATGTCGTGCTATATTTCAGGAAGGTACAAAACACCAGGCAGCAATGGCAGTGAGGGGTGGGGAAGGGAGAGGAACAACCTGCCCAAATTAAAATCAGCCAGTATTTCTGACAGATTTCTGTGGGGCAAAGATTAAATTTTAAATAATTTCCAGCAGGAAGTGCAAAATCTCTGAATGTTTTGAAAGGAAGAAGAAAAATATACCAGGCTTGTTAAGCAACCCCGGGGACCCAGAACAGACAGTGCTCAAGTGAGAACCGCTCTGACTGCTTTTTAATGGGCTTATGTGCATTGCAGCCTGCTTACTCCCTCCCTCCTGCCCTTCCTTAAGCTGCGGGTCCTTTGTCAGAATACATGTCTCCATTTGCAGTTGTTTCATTACAAGCCCACTAATTGATCAGAGAAACTCCCGAGAATTTTTCCATTTGGGGATCACTTGGCTTATATATATTTTTTTTTAAACTATTGTCTGGATTTTTTTTCCTCCCTGGCATATGCTAATGAGGTGACTCACATGATCACTGGGCTTCTATTTCTCAGGATTTCATCAGCTCCTCTTACTTATTTCTTCTCCAAAGTGACATCACAGACATTTCCCCAGCACTTGAGTGAGATGTCAGGGGGTTGTCACCTTTGGTGCGGGAGTGAGGGTCGCAGGGATGACCTCGGAAGAAACACGGCTCCTAGTTTTATGCAAATGCAGGGCTCCGCCCGTGCTGGGGAGACAGCTTGTTCTCATGGACCGAACACAGTGCTGCTGGTCAGACGCTCCAAAGTCCGGATTCATTGTGTGGCCTTTGGCAAATTACTTCACCTCTGTGCCTCAGTTTCTCCAGCTGCAAAACAGGATCATTAGTATTCCCTTTGTGGGTGAGAGACTATGCCTCAATGCACTGAAGCTGCAGGGTGTTACCCAAATGCCAAGTACGGTGGGTATGAGTGATGACCAGGGGCAACAGAATGTAGCAAGCCATCTTGCTTTTAAATGGAGAGCCACTCTCTGCCCCTTTCCAGAGATTTGCCTTAGTTTTTTATGGCAATTTCAAATTGGCTATCACCTTCACTGCCTGGAACAATCTGATGCTGTGATGCTCGTTCCCTTTCCCACAGATTCTCTTTTTTTCAAATGGTGTCTTGCACTGTTTTGACTTGCATTTGCTTGGTAGCTTCTCATAAGCTAGTTGTGCACAGCAGGTTTCAGCATTTGGTGCTAACATTGTTAATGAGCACTGCTGACAGCTGCATGGGGGTTTAGACAGGTCTGTCTTGATGAATGAGGGATCCAGAATAGATCACTTGCTTTTGAAGCTCTCTGAACAATTTTCTCACTCTCACACACATACACGCACACACTGAATTGAGATTTGATTTTTGTCTTTTTTTATTTAGTTTTTAAATATTATTTGGTGCTCATACTTAATTGCGAGCTGGGCTTGCAAAAAAACCAAAAAAAACCAAACCAATATTTATCTTTCTGTTTATTTGAAAGAGGTCTGGTTTAAAAAAAAAAATGATTTACTTTGGTTTGTTTTGTTTTTATATTATTTTTTTTCTAAAGATGAGCTTGAGAAACCAATGGTTTTATCTCACTGTTGCTTCATATAAAAACAAGGCATGTTCAGCGCTGCCAAGCAGCTGGTGTCCAGCCTGAAGAGCAGTCATATGCAACTAATTCCAACCAGAAAGCTGTCTTGAAGGCAAAGCAGCTCCTAACTAAGCAAAAATTAGAGAGGGGGGCAGTGGTTCTGGGTGGGAATCTTGCTGTCCATTAGTCTTGGAATTTACATCTTCTTTCTAAGTTTTCCCATCTCTCTCTGAGCAAAGTAAAAGAGCCATTCATGCTTGGGTAGATCTTGATCAGTGCCTACAGAAGTCAGGAGAAGTCTTTCTATTGACTTCTGTGGGTGTGGGATTATATCTTGATAATGGAGTTGTCTTTAAGGTCGTTAACTTTAAAAAAAAAGCCTTCCCCTAGTATTGGCGGCCGGTGAAACCTAAATCTGCAGAGAAAACCAAACCAATACACGGTAAAGTTACTGTTCTGTAGGCAGAACTCAGCGCTTTGGTGTTTTTGAAGGTTTCCATTTCATTGGCATTTGCTGTTTCCAGCACGGGTCCTTCCTTTTCTTCCCAGTGTCCTCCCCCTACCACTGACACCTCCTAAACCTGTGTGTCCTATTGCTCTTGGAAAGGCAACTGAGCAGAAGCCCCTCAACCAGGGCAGTGGGAAGGAAGCCTTGGCTGTTTGACTTTCTCCAGTCTCGCTGTCAACAGAACTGCATGGAGCGCACTGTCAGCTGCATCTGTACTTTTGCGAAGCAGCTACCCTGTTTCCCATCTGCACTTTTCCAAAGTAAACAGAGGATTGAATCTGAAGTACATCAATTCATATCAGAGTTGTTTGTGCCTGTTTTGTTGGGGACAGAAATCCTTTGTTGCTGTATGAGATTGTATCACCATGAAGCCCTTAGTCCCCCTCCCTCTACCTTTTCATTTGTAAGAAGCAGGGAGGGGAAAGCAGTAATATATATATAATTTTTTTTTTTTTGTTTATCATAGCCACTTTTCTCATGTTCCCCTTTGAATGGTTTGGAGTTGATCCCTGGAAATAGATTCCCACCCTGATCCCTGCAAAATCACCCGGACAGTGTTTGATTCCAGGTGCTTAGTTAAGAGTGGGTCAGTCCTCTGTGCTAGGATTTTGTAGCCTCGGTATCCTTTTCCTTTCCCCGCCTTTGTTTGTTTTACTTCCGTGCATGACATCTAACCCATGCCTGCTGAGTGCATATTATTTCTTAAACCAAATCTGAATTGCAGTCAGATGGCCTGGATGATGTTAAGAGAACTGGTCTCACCCCACTGCCTGTTGGGGACCCAGGGGTCAGACGTGGCTGCACCGATGGCACGCTGCTGCAGGAAGAAGTGGAGTTAGGAAAAATTCCAGCTGAGCTTCCCGTACATGTCTGGCATTGATGGGAACGGCAGACTCCTCACAAGCGTGAAGAAGGAAAGGCTTGGCATGGTGGCTGTGTCTACGCAGCAGAAGGGGCATTAGGGAGTAGCATGATGAAGGAAGCAATCTCAGAGTGAAGTACATAAAATGGGGTGGTGAAGCTATCGCAGGGATTAGAGCTGTAGTAAGTATCTCTAGAATCGGAGGGATCAGATAAGATTAGCCTTCAACTTCTTTTAAACAAAGCGATCATCTCAGCCTGCAAATTTCTGTCGTGGTTCGATGCCATTAAGCACTTTAAATGGAACCTGTCTTGTCATTCGCTTTTCTCAGACAATCAGATCTGTATTCTTGCTTCCCCCTCTGTGTCCCCAATGCAACCTGGGATGGGGAAGGGTTAGGCTATATTCAAATGTAAACTCTGCATGCGTGTAGGCTTTGCTAAGGTGTCGGGAGAGGGGGGTGGAGCAGCAGCTTTCATAGTATTCCTAGGCCAAAGGTAAGAAGGCGTGAATTTTACTATAACCACTCTGGAAATGGAGTGAACTGAGCGCCCTTCGCCTCATGCACTCTACTCCAGGGAATCTAGCTGTCTCCCAGCCTGTCGGGTGAACCCCTGCTGGGAGCCCCCCCAGCGTGCATATGGCACAGGAGGAAAAGCACCTCCTGGAGACTGGGTCAGTCAGGTTCCCGAGAAGAGAACGAGCTTTCCCAAGCGGCACCTTCATTTCAGATTCCTCTCTGGCTCTTGAAGGTAACACGGGGCAAAGGAAGGACGGTGAGGCCATTTCAAGGCACGGCTTCGTTTCCTGCAGGCACCTCCCAGGCTGACTCTGGACCAAGAGCACTTACTTTCCATGGGGTGGCCTGATTTTTTTTATTTTATTTTATTATTATTATTTTTTCACCCCATCCCTGTTGAGGTCTGACCACTGCTGGGAACCGTGGGACTAAGGGTAGGCGGCACAGATTGGCATTGCCTGACAAAGAGCAAGCACGCTTGTAGCGTCTGGTCCTCCTCTTACCTTCTGTGGGTTGGTAAAATCTCTCAAAGCTGTTGTGAAACAGTGCCCAAATCCAGTTCTTCCTCACAGCAGAGACAGATTGGGGAGAGCTTAATTAGTGCCAAATCTCAAGCAGATTGTCTGGGGAAGCCAGACATCAGTGATAACCTAAATAGAGGGAGGACTGGTCCGAGATGGCAACACCGCAGTGATTTTCCTGTTTAAACCTAGCATAACATTCCCTGTTAACCAGAACGCCGGAAAGTCTCCTGCCTGCTGGCCAGGTCTGTAAACGTTAACTAATTTAAGGCGCCCTCTTTTAATTAAACCTCCCCAGTGCTCAGAGTGCTTACTTCGTTTGTCAGACGGGGCGCCCGTCCGCAGTTCTTCCTCCCGTGATCTAGCTAAGGTTTAAAAATAGGCAAGCTGAATTGGTTCCCTCCCGTGCGTCTCGTGAGCAGCGGGAAGCACGGTGCTAAATCCTTGTCAAAACGCGAGCTAGGGGCAGTGCCCTTTCTCTTCGTGTGCACTTCACTGCCATTGAAGAAGCCCTGCCCAGATCCGTTCTGCTTCCATTGGCCGAGAAAAAAGCAGGATGTTCGCTTCTCCCGTAGCAGCAAACACAAGGGTCTATAAAGCATGAATCACTTCCAGACTCTTAAGTATCATTTTCTTTATTGATGTTAAACACAGGCTCTAAAAGCCGATGTCCCGTTCAGCTCGCCTATGGTTAAAGTTTAGCCTCGTGTTTATTTGATACTAATGTGGAATGCACTAGAGTAATCCCCGAATG